AAAATGAAGGAGTCCGAGAAAAAAAAAACATTTTGAAGGATAGATTACAATAAAACAACAAGACTCAAGGAAACTGTTCAATGGAAAGAAAGAAGCCCGAAGAGAGATCCACAGGCGGAAAGTGCGAGAGAAGAAACTGTCAGAATAGAACTTACGGTTACAATTGCAACTGAAAAAAAATGGTAACACATAGCTACGAATTTAGTACTGAAAATATTTCTAACCAAATTCTTTGCGCACGTTATATGTCAATGCGAGGTAGGAAATATATTAAATTTAAAGAAATATAATTTTAAAAGTTGAGCGAAGTCATATAAACTTGCACAAAACCATTAAACATGCATCAATTTCAACTGTAAATTGATGAGACCTAGCTGTCAATTTAGTACTGCGCTCAAATTTGTAAAGTCAAAGTCTCAAAGAAGAAAGTCCGTTAAAACAGTTACCTTGAAAATCTAGAAATGCTTCCGAGAACTGTATTGTCTAAAAGTTGATTTAGGGCAATGTATGAAAGAGATGTGGCATTTCTCGTCCTCATGAAGTTTGTTCTTCATTGGAATGTGAAATAATTTTTATTGTATAGTTTTTTTTTATGGGTCATCAGTTAGCAATGTTACTTCCCTGTTGTACTGGACAAGTTATGACGCAGAAGAGTACTTTGGAAAAGTAAAAGGGTGTAGCAGATTGTACCCTAGATCTGACAAGGTCATCTTATAACCCAGTATAACCCAGTACCCTATGGGAGGCACAGTGGAGTAATGAATAGCAGCTCGGATTAAGAAATCGGAGAGCCGAGTTCGAATTCCAGTCGAATCCATTATATTCGCCTTGAGAAAGGTATGAAACCTCCTTTTCTCCCTCCAAGCTATGGGTAAATAGCAGGACAGACCGGGTTCTATAGCCTTGGATGGCAACTGGTCTACTGCAGATAGAAATGGCAACCGACTGCGGGAAAAAAATCTACCTCGTAAGTCATGTATGGAAAGATACATGATCGCCTAAGCATGTATCACGCATGGCACATAACTGACTGACCCTACGATCACCCGTTATACATAAATTGAGTAGGCGTCAGTAAAAGCTCGAGAAAAATGAATAAAAGTTAATTGCGCGTTAATCTCATAGCACTGAGTAATGATTTTCCAAGCGTAGCTCAGATGTGGCACAAGGCCGAAAGTAAGGGGCACTTAGTGAGGATCGAACTCACTACTCAGTCATAATAGTTCTAGCGAGACAAGCTTGCTAACCATTACACCACCTCGAGCTGCCCATCCCATAGCACTGAATATACCATCAAGCATATGACATAAACGTTTTAAAGACTTAAGTAGAAAGCACTCAAAATATAATGTGGAAGGTACCTTATATTGCAATAAAGTAGGTACCGCCAAAAAATAAGTAGGTATTAATCTTCAGTTTTGGTATTAAACGTACCATTGAACATACCATGTCACTGCAAATAATATTCTCCGACCAATTATGAATAATTTTAAGGATTTTAAATATCATTCATCGGATTCAGCTAAAGTCTATAATTTGATAACAGGAAACTCAGGTGACACAGACACATTCACTTGTAAGCAAGACACTTCTTTTCAGACTGTGAAGGTGTCTTTTGTTGGACGTGGGCCTTATCCTGAACATGGGGAGAAATGCGTAATTTTCCTACTGCACTGTGTTGGTAAGGGTGGCTGTGACACGTTTACGCGATTCATGAGGCCTAGTTGAATCTGAACTGGAATTCGAACTCGGCTCTCTGATTTCTCATTCCAAGCTGTTACACCATTACACCAACCAGTAATTAGTTTCGTTTTTTTTTTAATGAATGGCTTTATAGCACACAGTGAATATTTATAGTTCTAAGTAATTCTTACGGACTTTCTCACTCAAAGGTACTTGACATTTTCTACTAACGCATTTGATAACAAAAATGTTATATTCAAAAATTACAAAGTACAGTTCACATGTAGACACCATGCCAAGGAGGCCTTTTTGTGTATAGTGTAGATAAAACTAGAGTTCGCATTTGATATAGGTTCTACTCGTATCTATGTAAATTATTGCTTGAATTTACACAACTTGCTCCTATGCAATACATGATCATGACAACCAATTTGTTGACCTCAATAATTTGCTGTGTATTAAGAACTCCTTCTTGTTCTTCTTCTTGTTCTTCTATGTGCCGTGTCACTTCAGGACGTGGGCAATCATAGTTCTCCATAGTTTTCTGCACTTTGTAGTTCTTAGTGAATCTTGTCTTTTCACTTATCTCTCCTAATCTATTAGCATTATAAAGTACAGGCTCTCGAGAAAGCAGTTGAGCAACATGCTCCATAAGTTTTCTATGTGGTTGGGGTCAGGAGATTGGGGCGGCCATGTCATAACACTCACCTGCTTCTCATCAAAGTATTCCTTCATCAATTTTGATTTGTGACAGGGAGCATTATCCTGCATAAAAATGAGCTTGGTGCGGTCGATTTGCACCCTTTCAGTAGAAGGGAGCAGACAAGATTCTAAAATGCTCTTGTACTGCTCGCTCCTGAGGGTCTTTTCAATAGGTTTTAAGAAACCAGTTCCATGAAATCCCCAGAACATTATACTGAACGGATGCTTGACAGTACTTACTGCTAAATTCAAAGAGCTTTCAAAGCTTCTTCGGATTTTAGATCGTTTATCCTTAGAATTTAGCTCAACTTTCGTTTCATCGGAGAAGAGAACATTTAGTAAAAAAATCAGGTGAGTCACTTTTATCGAGCAGCATTGTATAAATGTACTTTTAGTTGCCATCTTCTTAGAGCTTATACATTAGTCCCAGGTAGTCTCAGTTTGGAAAATCCCTGTTTTGCCAACCATTTATATAATCTCGTTAGGTTGGTTGAGTTGCATTCCTCTTGCAATTCTGGTTGTAAGTATAACAAAACATTTCGTTGTCCATATTCCTTAGAGCTTCATCATTATGCCAAAGGATTCTCTGTTTGCAAAATAACTGTACTGCCATCGATTTACATAATCTCGTTAGGTTGGTTATGCGTTGCATTACTCTTGCCATTTTGGTTCTAAGTATAATTGTACTGTTAGTTGCCATCTTCCTTAGAGCTTCCTCATTAGTCCCAGTTATTCTCAGTTTGCAGAAAACCCTGTTCTACCAACCATTTACATAATCTCGTTAGGTTGGTTATGCGTTGCATTCCTCTTGCCATTTATTTCAGATAATAAAAGACAAAATAGATAGCCGATATAATTCTCATACCGGCGAAAAAAACAGCAAACAATTCCAATAACACAACATATAGGCTTAGAAACATTAGAATTAAATACAAGCCAACAAAATATGAATGGCTTAACGAAAATTGTGTAGAAAAGAAATACTTTTGAATTTAAACATAGCAGACATGCATATGCTTTGTTCTTTCTTTTCACTTCCTTTCATTATGTACATTTTCTATGTGCCATATCCCTTCAGGACGTGAGTGATCATGGCTCTCCACAAATCTCTATCCTTTATAGCTCGTAATAAATTTTGTCTTTTCGTTATCTCTCCTAATCCCTGTTCTGCCAACCATTTACATAAGATAGTTATGTAGGTTATTCGTTGCTTTCCTCTCTCTCTCTTGCCTTGAATATTCCCTGTGAGTGTCAAAGTTTCTAAGCTCTCGTTTCTCGTAATGTATCCTAGAAAGTTTAAAGAACGAAAAGTGCGACACTGAAATTCGAAGGTGCATTTGGATAACAAATCTAAAACTAAAAAAAAGCAACATATTAAGAAACAGAAAAAAATAAATTCGTTAGAAACGAAGAGTACTGAACTGTTATTTTTATATCGGTCCTCCTCTAAGGCAATGGATGATGGACAGTCTCCTCACAGATGAAGAAAAAAACTTGAAGCAACAGAAATGTGGTTCTACAGAAGGATGCTGAGAATACCACAGACTGAACATGTAAGCAATGAGGAAGTTTTATAGGAAGTGGAAACAAAAATGACACTTATACTTAACATCAGAAAGATACAGTTGAAATTACTAGGGCACATACTGAGGAAAGAGGGATCAGAAAATTTAATACTCAAAGGTTATATAGAAGGCAAGAGGGACAGAGGAAATCAGCGCATAAGCTACATAACGAGCTGGTGTAAATAGCTGGCAGAAGAGTGTTTATGAAAGCTACCAAAAAGACAAAATTTACTAAGACCCACAAAGTATACGAAGTTGTGGAGAGCCATGATCGCCTGCGCCCTGAAAGGGAATGTCACGCAGAAGAAGAAACTTAAAAAAAAAACAAAAAAAACTTCAATGATTTCTTTTACGATATGTAAATGATGATGCTAGGAATTTTTGCATCAATCTAATATATTGCTCAGGAAAACTTCCTTCTGTGACAGATTCAACCTCTTCCACTCTGCCACAGATAGCAAGACCCGAAAAACACATCAATACAAACCGACTTGATACAAACTTTATATAATTAGACTATCTTTTGGCATTGAAGAAAGGAGAGAATGAGTTAAAAGGCTGTAAAAGATAGAAAAAGAAAAAGAGAAAGGAGAAAGCGTTAGGGATTGGTCGGGGAGCGGGGGCGGTGGAAGAGGTGGGTAGGGTAATGGAGTTTAGATAGGAGACAAGAAAATAGCCTCAAGTGATTGAAAATTCCAAGCACAGAGAGAGGAGCTATCAGAAACCATAGTTAAAAGTGATAACAAATGCTGAAACACAGATTACAAACGTTGTGTGATAGTCGAACACAACAATAACCACTAAATTATTATTTCTCATTTGCGCATGCGCACACATACAAAACAGTTACAATCATTCGCACCAACCCTTGTTCTCTATCTGTCGTAAAGACAGGCGCATATACGCGCGCGTTTATATGCTTTCATTGCTGTATGAGGACATCTAAATAATCTTTTACCTTCACATCCATTCGTAAACATTCACATTATCTTTCTTGGTCTTACAAATATATGTATCCAATGATAAAAACAAAAGAAAACAAATCCTAACATTATAGAGAGAGGAAGAAAGGGTGAAGTAGGAGAGAGAGAGAGAGAGAAAGAGAGAGAGATTGATAAGTAGGCGGGAAGACAGAGAGCGATAAGCGAGGGGAAATGATAGGTACATGAAGAGGGAGAATGTGTGTATGTGAGTGATAGGTGAAAGAAGACAGAGAAAAAGAGTAGGTGAAAACAGGGAGAGGGAGAAAAAATTAAAGAAGATAGAGACTGAGTGAATAAGAAATAAGTGAAGGCAGAGAGAATGAGCGAGAGGTAAGAGGAGAGAGAGAGAGAGAGAGAGAGAGAAAAGAAAGAGAGGTAGGTGATGAAAGAGAAAGTGTGAGATGAAACTGAAGGTAGGAGGAGAGTGAGTGACAGGTAGGGGAAGATAGAAAGTAAGTGAGATACAGAGAGGAGATAGAGAGATAACAAGCTAGGGGGGAAAAGAGAATGAAGTGGACGGGGAAACAAATTGAGAGTGAGTGGGAGATAGAAGAAGACAGAGAATGAGAGATAAAATGAGACACACAGAAAGATGGAAGAAGACAGAAAGATAGGGAGAGCAGGTCAGGAAGTGGAGAGATAAAAAAAAGAGAAGAAAAGCTAGAAGAATTAGTGGGAAAGAAAGCGGGAAGAAGAAAATCAAAAGAAAAATATGAAGGAGAGATGAAGAAAGGGAGAGAAAAGAACAGATATGTAAAAGCGACTTATTTAACAACAAGAGACAAGTGTTAGAAATCAAAACGTTATTCGCAGTCTTTTCTATAACATCACACAAATGTAAATTCCTCAAATACACAGAAGTTTATAAAGGGTGTTCCAATAACTTGGACAATTTTAAATGTGAATTAAGTTTAAGCGTCTAATGATTTTTTCTTTTTCTTTCAGATTTGACAACTTAAGTCTTTGGCAATTTTAGCCATGGAAAGATTAATAATCAAACAACGTGTTAAAGTTAATGGACGTTCAAACAGAAATGCATTTCGCTCACTTCACGATTTTTTTTAGTCAACATAATCGACCAACCGAGAGTGCAGTTGGAAACGATGTAACGTTGTTGTGGAAAGGTTCAATTCCTGCACGCGCTGACGAATAGAGGGGGTCTGGATTTTCAGCCACATTCTCGTGCACTGCAGCATTGCTTTCAGCTGAACGGCGTAAACGAGCATGCAATGGTGTTTTCACATCTGCCAGTTTTTCAAATTACACTCTTGAAACTTTAACACGATGTTTTATTGTTAATCTTTCCATGGTTGAAATTGCCAAAAACTTAACTTGCTAAATATGAAAGAAAAATCAAAAAAATTCATTAGACGCTTAAACTTAATTCATATTTAAAATCGGTCTAGAGTTATTGGAACACCCTTTATAATGTTAGTCTGACCTTAATGTTAGCTGAGGTAGCCGCATACTTTTTTCAACTGATGTCAGTATTAAGTGTTCAAGATTTCAAATTTTGATTTTAAAGCAGTCAGTGCTCACACTACTTGAAACATTGGCGCAAGACGATCTTCTTATCTGCTTTCTTATAATTTGATCTTGTGTCAAATTTAGTAAATAACAAGGAGGTAAAATGCTTTTACTAAATGTTTACCTAATACCTGACTCAAGAGCCACTTACGATAGAGGGTTACCAAATGCTTATTTCCACGAGTTCAGACTTTCACAGCAAGGACCAGCCATACACAAAGTCGACTCATCCTCATTCCCCTCATATTCCATAAGTAAGCAGGAAGTTCCACTCCGACAGTTTTTCCTCAACATCTGTTAATTTTTGGAACAGAATCCCGAGAGGATGCTTCCCCGATCACTCCAATCTTAACCTCTCGTGTTAACCGTTATCTATAGATATCTTCATAATAGTAACCCCTTACTCTCTCTTTGCATGCTTTTACAACAACCTCATTCAATGAGGTTAATATATGCCCGGGTAGTAATTGCAGATTATAAAGATATGTAGGATAGATAGCTGTTGACCCTAGATGTGAAGTGGCTAAGATTACTGTGATCGGGGAAACATCTACTCAGTGGTGGGGGTCTTTCCCACGAAGTAGCAATTCTCGGGAAGAAGATTTCCAGATGGAACTTCCTCCTTACCAATGGAATACGAATGGGGAATGAGGCTGATTCGACTCTGTGGTTGTGGCATGGCTGGTCTTAGCTGTGAAGGTTTGAACTGGTGGAAGTAAGGAATCTAGCTCATCTATATATTTGTTATGGAAATAATGATATACTAGCGATGGGCTTGCGATGTTTCGTCTGTGGGAAATGAACTGAAGGGTGGAAAACCAGCCACAAGGCAGCGTAAATACTTCTGAACTCAGTCAAGGCCGAAAAGAGAAGATTAGTTAGCTTCACCTAAGATATAGCAACAATATTATATTTTTAGTCTGATCTAACACTTGTAAAGAGACAGCATGGCAAGAAGAATTAGATATGTTCTCGAGTGGTACACTCTTGACGTATGTATTTATAGTCTGACATGCAACACGCTTAAATCTAGAGGCATGCCATCCATAAGAGTGCTTGTAAAATGACTTAAGTTGATTATAATTAAGAAGTCATTTTATTAATGGAATAAAACAATGTTAATCACTTAGTGTATGAAGTGTTCGTCTTTACAATGGAGTTTCTAAATTTCTTGAGATCGGGTTTAACTTTTGAAAGTTTAAAATTTAACCAAAAAGCTTGTGAGATGAATTAAGACAATAGACTTCAGAGAGAAAATTGTATGGAGACACAGATCTGCAACAGTTTCCTGCTAACTAGTACTGTAAGGTAATAAAATGATTTTCTATTTCCTACATGTTATTTATTCTACAAATTTGAATCTATCCCTGTTAGCCAATCGACAATTACAACAGCAATATTAGTTTTCGTGTTAGAAGAAATTTACAGTTTTCTACGCATATATAAATCAATGCACCTTTTGAAACTTTGAAAGGAAAACAATTTCTATCATTTGATGTGAAGAAGAAAAAAAAATAAAAAAGCAAGAAAAAGTAATTTATAATATGACAATGATGAAGACTATTGATAAAAGCCTTTAAATTTAATCACTAAGCAACAATATTAGCAACAGATTAAGATGGATTGACAGCCATTTCAATATTTGAGAAAAACCTACATAAAAAAAAAATCTTATAAAATTGCTACATTGAATCTAACGAAAGAGATTAATGCAGAAATATCAGTGGAACAGACAGTAGAATCTTGATATTGTGAATAGCTATAATTAAAAGCTTTGTGAATGACATACTCCATGACCATTTGATTTAGAAGGTGTGAAAAACGTGTAGATTTATACTATTAACATATGGGAGATTTTACAAGTACTAGACTAGATGAGTCACTTTAGTCTGGTTTTGGGAATCAGATAATTCTAGTTCAGAAGCTAGAATTCTTAACTATTAATACGGTTTGCTTATCATTGCTTCTATTTCAAATTATACAGATATACTTAACCAGACGACATTTCTTTCTATAACTGCAATTTCAAGTCGCCATGTTATCTCTATACTGGATAAATTTAGTTCACGAAGTGTTTTGAATATGATGGCTCTTGCTCTGCTATTGGTTACTAACATTCAAGGAAAATTCTCAGATTCTCTGAGATACCAAAAGTGTTACGGAAATCAGTTCGTTTGTTTATCTTTTCTTTGGGGAGAAATATCCGCACTTTTCCACGTGAAGAAATGAGAGGGAAATTACTTATACAGAGACGAAATTATATTATTTATTCGCGTTTATTTATTTATTAGCATTGTTCCTTTCTATGATTGTAAAGAGAGATACAAAATGCAATTAAACGCTTCTACTTTCAGGGACAATACCGGACTGACATTCTCGCGTTAGTTTATCACATTAGAATAGGGATTTTCTAAAAGCAACTTCCAGTTTCATTTCCAGAAAGAGTTCTTTTTTTTAACTAATTAAAGTTCTATTTGAAGAAAGAGCAATTTTTCATGTTTAGCCAATCATTTATAATATTTACATTGTTCGGACTGTTGTCTTCATCTTCATTTTTTCTGCCACATTCACAACGTTTCTGCCGTTGTAAGCTTTGGCCTTCTTCAGGTGATGTTTATTGGAATTTCGAACCGAAACCTTTATTTGGTCCACGGGTGTAAATTGTTCTAGTTCCCCGTATTATGTTTTTTTTCTGGATATCTCAGTTTTACTTAATTCGCCTTGATAACTCTACAAATATTCGTTTTCTGCACTGAGGCCAGGGATTGAATGAAGTCATTTTTTATGAATCACCCAACGTTTTTATCCACTGGGCCATGTGTCCTTGAGATAACATGGTGACTTGAGTCGTGGTGAATCTGACAGTAAAGATGAGGACAACTGTCCGGATAATGTAAATAGTTGCAATACCTCATCTCAGAATATAAGACAGATGTTAGTGAATCAAATTCTTAATTTTTATGCTATTTGACAATTGTTCATTGATCCTGATGTTGTCCAGACAAGCTACATTGCTTATTGCCATCTGTTCAGAAACTTCCCAGCAAGGACCAGCCATACCACATATACAAAGTCAACTCATCCCTATTCCCCTTATATTCCATTGGTAGGGAGGAAGTTCCACTCAGACAGCTTTTCCTCAACATCTTCCCCAATCACTCCAAACTTAACCTCTTCAAGTCTAGTGTTAACCGTTATCTATAACTAGATATCATCATAATAATAACCCCTTACTCTCTCCTTGTATGATTTTACAACAACCTCATTCAGTAACATTCACCTTTGAGTGACTCTTGGGCCTTTTAGTGGGTGAACAAAAAGAAACCTTTCAGATTGATCTTTTGAAATCTGATAATTCCAGATCTTTTAATGTTAGATGAATAAAGAACTCATTTTTAAATAGTAATTTCACACTATTTAATGCTAAAATTCACTCAATTCAAGGCTCAAGAGCCAATCAAATTCGAGGGTTACTTTTAAACCGGTTATAATGAATCAGGTATGTGATATGAATGAAAGAATGTTTCTAGGATGTGAAGATTATGAGGATAGATAACGTTTGACTACTGGCTTTAAGAGGTTAAGATTGTTATGTTCAGAGAAGCACCAACAGGGGAGTCTGTTCAACAAAATGACAGTTCTTAGGAAAAAAATGTCTGAATTGAACTTTCTTATATTTTAAACACGGGGGAAATAGTGGTGAATCGACTCCGTGAAAGTAGCATGGCGGGCCCTACCTGTAAAGGTCTGAACTTGCTGAACTAAAGAGAAGGGATCATCAGAACATTTGCCATAGAAATTGTGATACAATAGAAATAGACTTGAAACATTATAGATTTCGTCCTCACCCAAAATGGTTGCAGTTCAAACCAAAGTAAATGTTTTGGAGGAGGGGGGAGCATTTGTTTTGTGTTTAGTAAATTTTCTATATTTAAGTATAATTTCACATGGCATATAAAATCTTGATAGTTGAACAGGCACCTTAAAATAAAATGATAATTATTGGACTTTATAATTAACAGTAGTGTACAGTTATGGATCACCAGTGCCAAAGAAAGTTAATATCAGTCCTCTCACCTCATAGCCTATTTCCCAGTGGATTTTTGAGATTAGTATCATATATTTCTAAATTACTTGTTTACATGTTCTGTTCATAGTAAAGAAAATAGGAGCTACGAGAACACTTATAGTTACAGCCAGAAAGAGCTGAAATATCTGTAACATAATGAAGACAAGGAGCTTGGAGAATTAAACACTCTCAAGCCTGAAGGCAAGAGAAGCGTAGGGAAGTAGTGAGTAGCCTATTTAACACGTTTTTTTTGTGAATATATGATAGATCAGTGACAAAGAGAGATGGTAAAGGATAAAAAAATTACTTCGACCAATAAAAGAAGTTGTGGACAATCTAAGTCCTGAAAAGATATAGCATATAAAAGTAGAAGACCATATATCTCTAATGGAGTCGGAATTTTGGAGGCTTTTCCAGAATTTGAGAATTTGGCTAGGGTTGTAATTTCAGGCCATACTAAGATTGTAAAGCCGCAATTAAAATGACCAGTGACGTAAAATGAAAAATTCCAGACGACAGATAAATGAAATAAAAGAACTATTACTCACCCTCATAGAAGACAATGCAATTCTTTGGTGTTTCTTCTGGTTTTGAAAGTAATTTCAGCCAAGAAGCAGATTCTTCTAATAACCTCACATATACTGTATTTCCATTGTCTTCAGTAAACTGTAAAAAAAAAAAAAAAACGAAAAAAAAAATTATCTTTGTAGATCATACCCACTGATAAGATCTAACAATTATGTATATTTAACATAGAGGTTATTACCCACATTCCATTATGTCTTCCACATTTGATAGCTAGAGGCAATTTTGTTAGAGCTTTTTTTTTGTTAAAAAAAAAAAAAAACTTTTCAGTCACATTGCAAAACCTAGCAGTCACGACACTTCACTCACCTTTTCAAACTTTGACTAGAAACAGAAAATTTGGTTTCCCCTCCTTTCTGTTAGAAAAAAGAAAAGAAAAAAAAAAAAGACACACACACAATAGAAAACCAAAAAAATCTTCATTGTTTTCTTTTTCCATTTCACTCAAGGTCTGTAACAACTAACATAGGGGTCACTATGTTTTTTTTTGTTTTTTTTTTACTGTATCAGTTATCTTTCACTGCTAGGTTGTCAAGGAAAAACCCCAGTCACCTTCCCACTACTGTGCACTCCTACTCGGATTAATTTTATTTTTTTTATCTAAAAACCTCATTCAACATCCCCACACCCTGGCGCAGATAAGGCTGGACAGCTGATAATGGAGTTGGTAGAAGCATGCAAAACACTCTGTCAGTATAAATGGCCCACTTGTGGCAAATAAAACAAAGTTATAATCTTATACTTCGAAAATATCTACCCTATCTTCAACACCACCCCCAGTCACATAGCTTACACCCATATCACAACCTCCTCTCCCCATAGACATTCTTGCCCATATATATAGAATATGTGCATATATATATATATATATATATATATATATATATATATGAATAAGGTGTATTTAGGCAGTAAGTGTTCATTCAAACAGGTTTGATTAAAAAAAAAGCGACAAGGTCTGTTTAATTTTTTATTGTATCATTACAATTTACGAATAAGGTGTTGCGTATTGTGATCAAAATTGTGGAGAAGCTGTCCGAAATTTATATGGTGTTGTTGTTTTTGTTCAAGTATTTTCGACCATCTCAGTCATTTTCAAGGCTATGTTCAATGGGGAAGAATTTCGGAGCTCGCGCCGGCAAGGTAATGTGTCAAACATCTGCCTCGGTCTGTTGAGTAGCACGGGCGCCATGTAGGCAGGTACTGTCCTGCTGGAGCAGCAAATTACTTACTATTTACTATACAAGCATCAATGGCAAGTAAGAATTATAACAAATTGTATATGGTACCTGATATGGACTATGTTTATCGTCGGAAGATATCAAACACCAGGTCCAATATTGCACGTGCAAATGACTATCACTTGTATGAAACAGAACGTGATCTCATCACTGAATGCTATAGAGTGCTATTCAATATCGCCGAGGTGACCTTCTTGTGAGACGTGCACGATGATCCTCTTCTTGATGGTGTTGAAGTATGGTCAGAGGTAGACACGACGAAAATAAATGGATTTATTTGTGTACACTTGAATAAAGTCTGTCCGGGATTTTAATATACCGACAACTTTTTTGAAATCCACCAAAGGATTCTTTGGTTCGCATACGCAAACAGACACTCTCCCGTGAGGTTACTCAGTCGGCAGAGAGACACCAACTGAATGAGAGCTGTGTAACTTGTCACATTCATGATGACCTAGATTAATACTTTCGTGTATATCTTTGGTCGGTCATCCGCCTATACGCTTGATACCCACGGTCTTATCCAAATCTAAAATTACTTTTGAAAGGCCATGGTCAAAATTAAGGAGAATGACAAATTAACGGATGGTGATCGTAAAGGATCGCTTTAAAACATCGAAGGCTCACTGTGATAAGTGTTCAAGTTTCCAAAGGGAGGACCTTGGAGAAGACGTGGATATCCGAATGTTTCGTCAATATTAAAATAGTTGAATAATTTCCAAACAAGCCTTGTATTACCCACAAAAAATGTGTGTTAAGATGGGCAGATATATATATTTGGTAAATTCCTTCTTGTCTGAAGATGTTCAATCTGAAGGAAGCGCGCCACAAAATGCTTTCGTATTATTCTTTTATTTAGCCACTGTATATATTAATTCAGATATAAATAAATGTATGTGTAAAGACAATATGAATAAAAGAAGTTACAAAAGGAAAACCTTTTTATCTTTTATGGAAATGTGTTTCGCTTTGATAAAGATTCTCAAGGGATGAAATGCATTGGCATAAGATGCTTTCATTTGTCATTTTATTTATTTTATTTATATATATATATATATATATATATATATATATATATATATATATATATATATATGAATGATACGATAAAGAAACAAATAGGAAACGTTTATAAATTTATTATGTTTCGCTTTTATAAACGTTTCCTATTCATTCCTTATCTTATTCTGACGGATACCTATATATATAATTTATTCGAAAATTATAATATAATTATGTTATGTTATAATTTTAGAATCAATTATTGCTCTACTCTGTATTGAGCATTTTTTAAGAATAGTATTTTCTGGTTATTGTAATTTATTCCGTATACACCAATCCTATACTTGGGTATATATATATATATATATATATATATATATATATATATATATATATATATATGTGTGTGTGTGTGTGTGTGTGTGTGTGTATGTATTTAGTAGGCTAACAGTAAATAAGCAAATGACAAACTAGGACAACTCCTAAATGTCTTGTTTTGTTTCGAGAAAGAAATTCTTCAAACTAGTAATGGATTTAATTAACCATCGATAAAACCTTTATTAATCTGAAGAATGTTCTTTTCGGAACGAAATGCGTCACTAAGGAGTTTTCCTATTTTGTCATTCGCTCATTCATATATTTATATATAAAAAATCTACATTGTGCTTGCAACCCGGAATCATTAAATATTAGAAGGTCAGTTTTGTGTCGATTTTCTTCGACGGTAAGGTTGGGACAATTCGAGCGTGCGGCATCGTTGAAAAGTGCCTGAAAACTGTACCATGATTTTACCCAAACAGTAGGAGGGATTGTCTTGTCGCAGGGTTAGAATCCACGGGATCAGCCGCTTTCTTCATTTATTTATGAGGAGAACAGATATCACGCATTGACCCTGGATACTTCTAATGGTATTTACCAGCCTCCCCACGAAGGTAGGACGTGGTACAAGGTCGTTGTTTAATGTGGAATGATCATATGCGCACATATGGTCCAAGGAGAAAAATTGAATTGTCTAGGCGTCGGTATACCACCGACCCTCCCACTTTATATTGCAATGAGGAAGGTGGTACCATAGGGTTGGCATCGCCGGGGTCAGGCACCGTCTTCATTGGTTAATGAGAACATTACTACGCATCGATCTTGAATCTCTGATTTCTGACCACAGATGAAGGATCAAATGTCTCCTCATTAATCACTGAAGAAGGCGACTGATACCAACTCTGCGACAAAACCGTCGTCATTGTACTAAAAGATGGAAGGTCAGTTGAATAACACTGACAGGGTAGTCGCGCCAATTTCTGAATTGGCAGATATACACCCCACATTAAAAACGATCTTGTATTACATCCAGCCCCCGTGGGAAGGCGGGTAAGAAGAATGCCCCAAAAGAAGAATGGACAGTTCCGAGTTCTGGCATTTCCAAAGAATGGCATATGAATGCGAGTGGAATAAACCTCGTGGATCAAATAAACGGTTATCTTTGACATTCCTAAATACAAGAAACAACTGAAGAACATCGGAGAGATGATCGGCCATAATGCTATGATAGAAACAACATAGCGAAGAAAGCTGCTCCTATGAATCAGTTGATAATAAAAATGCAGTCGGAAAACATCATTAGATATATAAACTTGTTGGTGACAACCTACTAAAGGTCTGACTGAACGAGAGGCAACCACGTTTGACTAATGAAACATTTGTTGACAAGAAAAATCTTAGCAAATATATAAAACAAAAGTTATTCCGAGCTATAGACAGGTGCAAATTTGGTATGTGTCAAAAAACATGAAATCTCATCATCAGGTTTTAAATTATGGCCTCCAATGAGATTTTAACCTTGATGACGAAATTGATTTTATCTTTGCTTATATCTTTTACTTTGCGTTCATTTTTTCCTTGTAAAGCAAGTTTTAGCTTTAGGGTTTCTTCGTGTTAGAAAAAGTAGAACGACACAGAAACATGTCCCGAATTAATTCTATGAGGAAAAGTGGAGGCAAAAAAATAACAAAAGAACAAGTTACTAAATATGAAAACATTGTTTCAAATAAAGAAAACAATTTCAGTAATTTTCAGTTTTTTAAAATTATAATAATAAATCAGATTATACGCGAATACACATGGGCACACACACACACACACAAAACACACACACACACACACACACACACACACACACATATATATATATATATATATATATATATATATATAATATCAGTTGATAATTGGTAGGGATAGTACAGATGATTCTAAAATCCATTCGGTTATAATTTATTTCATGAATATCCAAATAGTCATCTCTTCAGACCGAAATGTTTTTAAACAACTTTTTCGGTCTGAAGAGTTGAATATTTGAATATTTATGAAATAAATTATAAACCGAATGGATTTTAAGGTTAATCTGTATATATATATATATATATATATATATATATATATATATATATATATAACTGATAAATAAGAATATGTTAAAACATAGACAAGATCTGTTTAATTGTTTTACAAACTTTTCTAGAAACCAAGTTGTCGCAGACTCAAATTAAATTTATAGCGAAAACAAGGCACTACTTTTATTTCATGAATAAACGTATGCCTCCTATATCCTATATATATATATATATATATATATATATATATATATATATATATATATATATATATATATGTGTGTGTGTATGTATGTACTTCTAATTTACATTTATAAAAATTCGCAAAAACATAAACACAAAAGAAATATATATAGGATGAAAAAAAAAATTAAAATTTCAAATATGAAATGAACATATGGACAAACAAGCAGACAGATTAGCTTAATTCCATTAGATGTTATTTTTA